AGCCAAACACAACAGAATATTTATGGAACATGCACTCTACAAGTTTTTTGATGATGTTTTCTCTGTTTCTCTGTTTGAAAAAAAAAAGTCAGGATTCAGCTTGCTCTGCCAGATTTGTAATGGGCCTCACTGTTACAATTTGCCAAAAATATAAGAGCAAAATTCTCATCAAAGCTATCAGGCTTGGAGCGCGAAGAAGTGCAAATGTTTATTTTGTGATTGCCCCTGCTTTTGCTATGAAAGCTCCCATCAACCTGAGCTCCTAATCGGCGAGTATCTGCCACGCACTCCAAACCAAATTGCTGTTTATTCTATTCTAGCAGTGTCAAAACCCCAGTTTGTGGCTCTGCTGAATGCTATCAGGGGGGAATGAGGGTCCCCGGGATGCTCAAGCTCGCTGCTGACTCAACAGACTTCCTGAAAGGGCCCGAGCTTGATTTACCCAAGCAAAATGTCGCGGTAATTGTGAAGATTTATATCAATGGGAAAGAGCTGACGAGGTCCTGTGGCTATCAGATGTGACAGACCTAATATGTGCCTCCAGTGTGGGGCGCCACGCTAAAAGGGGCCTGCAGGTCGGGACGATTCCTGCCAGTCGAATGTTCCAGGGCGGAGGTTAAAATGGAGTGTGAAGTGGAACTTTTGAGTCGGTGAAATTGTGTTTTTAATAAACTGCTTAACATTTCGCCACACTCTTTAGCATTGTGTCAAATTGAATTGGATGCCAGTTGGTTTTGATAAACAGGTATTGCCACTGTGTGAAACGGGAATCGCATCTGCTTCTCTTCACGTAATGGATGCTAATGATATACTGTAAAGAGGTGACAAAATTCCCAAATTGTAAGTTCCAATAAAAAAATTTCACCAAGCGCTGACTTAATCGTGTTATAAACTGACATATTTCCAGGGATGGTAATTATATGGTGAGTTGACATGTTTAGCAAAAGAAATTAGCAACAGCTGTTTCTTATTGATGCACGACTCTCACACCAAGATAAAAAAAAATATTATATTCTCAGTGTATAATGCATCTAACATTCACCAAATGTGGTATAGAAATGCAGAGAGGTGAAATAAATGCAGAAATAGATGACGATAAACCAAAGGTAGTTTCTCTTTACTCGAGCAGTAGCCACATCTCACAGCAACTTGGAATTATAGAGAATCTTTTGTGAACAGTGGAGATTGGTTTTATAATTTAAAAGTATAATTCAGTATGATTTAGACTTCAGAGCCAGTCTAAACATTTATTTAGAAACCATCATATACTGACCTCTTATTAAATAAAAAGGCCAGACAATACTACTGTTGTACTACTGGGTTTCTAAGAATTCACTGGCATTGAGTTAAGATTCTGAGAAAATACCACTCTGTTTTCAGTGAAGGCAAGGTGAACGGGATAGAGCTTACAAGAAAAAGCGTCACACTGCTTTCTAATTGAGCCCTACTGTTCCATCTACACATGTTTACTTTAAAGAGGAAAGGTTAGTGCTTTTCAGCTAAATATTTCTGCAAATTATACACTCCTAGACTCTGAGGCAGCTACCACGCACATACAAAAACTAGTGTACATAAGGTTGCATCCATTTGCTTAACTTGTTATAAATAGTTAAGAAACACAGGCATTTTCTATGTGGGGTTATTTCACAATTTATGCTTTATGTTATATCAGAATCGAATAATCTTTGACAACCGTCAGAGCAGGCACTTGACAGAGTGGTGGTTTTGAATACAGTCTGATCCAAGATGTGAATGTGCAAAATGACTGCTGAATGTTCACTGATAAATTGAACTTAAGGGGGAACTTGAGCACCCAATCAGGGCAAACTAGTATGATTATGGTTACTATAGGGATGACTGTTAATAACTTTTCAAAGTGAATCACACATTTTATGACTCATTCATGTTGCATAGTGTTTACACAAGATCTCCACGAAGGCAGTCGTCAGATATACTATGCCTTGTGTCCAATGTAGTATCTTTTCATGGAGTCACAGTCACAATGATTCTATTTTGTCTGTGTTATAATGTTTTATTGGCTTAGAAAGGTGCACTATCTAACTTTTTAGTTACATAGTGCACCATAGTACATTTTAAATTGCTTTTATTTGTTTTTATGTGTTTGAATGGTGCCACCCTGCTGTACCTCTCTCTCGCACTGTCTCAGGTCAAATGACCATCTCCTACTGAGTGTGATGAAACTCAGAAGGGACAGAGCCTTTGCACATTAGACTCTTCTGTACCTGTTTTTAAATCTCTTCTTAAAAGACAATTGTTCACTTTTGCCTTTGACACGGTTTGAGTTGTTGACATTTTATTAGATTATATTTTTTATTAGATTATGTTTTTATTCATATGTTGTTTTATTGTTTTTATTGTTCTTATTTAATTATGTTCTGTTGCACTTTGGTCAAGCTGTGTTGTTTTTAAAGTGCGTTATATATAAAGTTGCAGTTGTAGTTTTTAGATGGGGAATGTTAGTGCTTTGACTTGAATGTCCTTTACTATGGCCTTAAACATATCTATCCTGAATTATTTATCACAGCTTTCTATTGCTGACCTTGAACCACCTTTAAAATGGTCATTCACATTTTCGTATTACTGCTAGATGGGAAAAAAAAAAGTATTTTTATCATTGTTAGTTAAAGGTGTGTGATTCTCTAAAGGTCAAGAATGTAGCTACAGACCTCCATCCAGAGGATTCTACCCTGCAGACCTCCACCACTATGTACCGCCACCCACACTCTGCTCTTGATGCATAGAGAAATTAGAAGATTAAAATGCACCCTTTTTGTACCCCTGTAGATAGTGAATACAAATTATGTAGTTAAGATTAGGCACAAATAATGGAAGATTATGAAAAGGGTTTGGTCTTGTCTTTGATGTAAAACAATGTAAACTTTTGTAACGTTATACTGAAAACAGCAGCCAGGAAAAAGTGATTATTGACAGTCTTTTGGCATGATCACTGTTTGTTTACTTTTAGGGAGATAAGTCATTGAAGATCCCGGTGGAGATCTGCAAGTTGGGACTTCTGGGTGGAGATCTGCAGCCAGATCCCTATAGGCTAGGCTGGCTAATTTCAGGAAACAGCAGGACATTGAAAGCACCACGACACCAGAGCGCAATGTTCTGATCTAAATTCTGCTGTGACCTTCACCATACATATTCCCCAGTATAATTCCTTGTCACATGCCTGTCTGTCTGTATTTACTTCCACTTACCATGAGGAATGATAACAGAAATAATTCCATGTGCATAATAGCTAATGCGCTGCCATAAACAAATCTTGGAGACTCTCAGCCATTTTTTATAGGGCACGGATCACCAAACGCATCAAGGATAAACACATAACAACCTAGGATATAAGGCAACATCCATTTTACATGTATTTATGGCTCTGGTATGAGTGTAATTGCAGTCTCCTCTTGTAAACATGGCATAAGCATCACTACAACCAAATCAGAGAAAATGTTAAATCCACAATGAATCCAAAATAGAATAGACAGTTTCTTGTAACAAAAAAGATCTATAAGAATGCTTGCTTATAATTTGTTCTATATTTTTCCACTGTCCACCCAGTGCTTAATGGTTGGTTATGGCACAGTGGGTTACGTATTCACCCATCCACCAGAAGATATCAGGTGCAAGTCTTACAAACTGTCCCTGCATGGACAAAAGACTTCACCAACATTGTTTTTGGGAATACCAAAATACAGAATTAGAGTGGGAATGAAAAAACAATGGGATCACAACTATTGTAACACATATCGAAGAAACTATAACCTTAACTCCTTTTTTGTATGCATATGGACTTCTATGTGTTGGAATTCAGTTACTGGTCATATTGCCTTGGGGTTTCTATAGGTGCTTTCAAACATGTGATTCTTATTTGAGAGCCCATGATCTGCAGACATTCTATGCAGTACAGTAGTCTAAAATATGATAGTAATGTTGGTGGATCGAAGTCATGAAGCTGTATGTTAAAGAGGCTGTGTACAGATTATATTTTGTTCATGTAGTTAAGCAAAATTAGTTTTGCCTTAGTAGAGAGATATTGTAAAAGTAGCTCATTGTAAATGAAGCTGCTCCGTGTTGCCGTCTGCATCTAATTATAAAGCATTTAATGGTCTGAGAACCAGGGAATGTGCTGTTTGCATGCTAGTTCTTTTTATCATTACTGTAATGGCTAAGCTTTGCCCTGACCTGTTAAAGTTGTGAAATGTGTATAGAAGTTAATAGCAGTGAATAATAATGAGGCTAGGGATGCAAAGCTGCTACAAACCATTTAAAATCAGGTACAGAATTTTAATCATGGTTGTCTAAGACTGAACTGTAAAAAGTCCAAAGGTGCCATGAGCTGCTTTTTAAAATGGATTACCTCATAATTATTTTGCTAACAATGTCACATTTCTTAATCAATCTCCACAACTTACTGTATGTTGAACCATCCCAAGTTTTAATAATCGACTTGCATTCTTTTAGATTCCCCTTCAGAATAACTTTGACTGCAGCACCAGCATTAGCATATACAGTCTCATAGCCCCAGACAACCTCCTGACACTTTTCAAAAGTTCCAAATGAAAACTCTTTTTCTCTGCAAAGAACAAATTATTTTTATTTTATGTGGCAGATTCTTTCAGCAGTCCTTCACTCATCTTGAGGCAAGTTTTATTTATTGTAAAAAATAGATTTGATGACAGTGCACAGATGTATGTAGACACTATTTAGCTCTTTTTTCTACCTGCAATCTCTGTGCACTGGGAAAGCACACTGTAATTTATAGAGCTTAGAGTAGTAGTCTGTCACTCCTTCTGAAATAGGAGAGGGGAGACATCTGCCTTTGCTTTTAATGGCTATCACAAATGTTGCAGTAATTCCACTCCTTGTACCTACAAAAAAGAAGTCAGAAAAAACAGCCAAAATTCCCTCCCCTCTTTTCAAGTGCACTCCCAAATTGCAGAGCAGAAGGGCACAGAGCTGGGACTACTCCTGCACACACTTCGTATTTTCCCCACTGCTGAGGAGCTCACCCCAGTGCTCTGCATTATGGAGGCTTGCAGTCAGTCTAGCAGTCAACAGATGCTTTGGAAAGATGTGAGTGCAGAATTTGATTTTTTTAGTTTTGTTGTGTACCATCTTAAATTCTAACTATTTATTATTGTCTAAAATAGTCAATAATATAATAATATTTTAAATCATAATTATAAAAAAATTATAAATGTTGAAAAATGTAATGGCTTAATAATGTTACTTACTTCTTAATGTACTGCACCTGGAGCTATTATTACTAACAAAGGTGAGGTAAAATTAAAATGGTAACAGCTACACAGCAAATCTGACCCCAGTTACTTCTAATTCTTTTACTCCCTGTACTAGTACTTTTGCCATTACCACACCTAATGAATTACCATGGTTATACTCACGCAACCTATTGCTACAGGAAGATTTGCTGCCTCATCTGCAATATAAAAATAATGAATATAGAAATTTGTTATACAAATTAAACATGCACTTGAACCAGTGACATTTGTTTAAGTAATCTTCTCTGAAAGTACAAAAGTCTGAAGTAGAAGTACAGCAGAGGCGTTCCTGCACAGTTTTTCTCCCCAGTTGTAAAGTGATGCTTCTTTCTCATACTCTTCATTTTTCCATCTAATTCCTATTGGCTTTTCATCTTGCCTTTATTTCCTGCACTGTGTTTGCCTTCAATCTCCAATATCCCACCCCTGCACTGACTCAGGCTGCATTCAAATGCCCATTGTCTTTATTTGACTCTTTATTATTGCACCAGAGGAGCAGGAGGATTTTGCTGCTCTCAAGTACCGCTATTTTCATATTCCACTTGTTGCCGGACCCATTGCACTGTGTCATTATCTTTTAAAATCATTGTCTAGCTGTCTATCACAATCCACTTGCAGTATTAGAAGTGCATACTATAGGTTAGAGAGTGAGAGTGCAGAAATTGCCCCTTTGTTTAACTATATAGCAGAAGATGACTGGATTTTTAGAAAGACACAGTGGTGTACTATAATAAAACACATCCTCAACTGCATAATGTCAAGTACTTGTACAGACCTCTGTCAAACACATTAACTCAAATGATGTGTTCTGGGATCCAGGCAGAAAAAATATTTCATTATTCTGTATTCTAACTATTTTAGACACATTTGTCCTGCCCGTTATAAAGCCTAAATTTGTGCTAATGTTATGCATTTATTTAAGTGCCTTGGATACCATAGCATTTGTAAATGCTGTAGTTACTTAGAATAAGTGAAAATGCCTGAAGAAAAACCTGAACCTGAATCTGCCTCAGAGAAAGAAGACGTGTATGTATAAATAAACTCCACCAGATGGCACTAGACTTGATATAGACCTTCAAAGAAACAGGAAGAAGTTAGTAAAAAGCTAAAGCCTCAAGCTAAACTTTAAATGTTTTTAAGGTGGTAATGGAATTGCTGAACAAAGAGTTTCACTGAGCTGTTATGTAAAGAAGTTAGAACAAAGTGAGAGACAAACAAAACACAACTCCAGGTAGGTTTTGATTACGATACAAAATTATAACATGGTCAAAACTCAACTTTGGGCCCCTTAACACACAGTTTCTAAATCTTAGCTAATAAGTGATGCTTTAGGACATAAAGTGCACATGTCTCCTGCAGAGAAGGCGATCATTATATACTTGTGTACACATATTGCTGCTGCACTGTTTGAGAAAAACAGGCTTATAACTGCTGCTCTACACACTATCTTCATCGATCTTTACTGAATAATAAAAATATCTACAATATTAGTAGAGATATTAATTGCTCTTCACATCAACTCCAACTTCACTCTGTCTAAACCAAACATCCCAGGTATGACTGTCTTTTCTGGCTAGATGCTATTCCCCTCCTAGCTCTTTTCTTTGCATGGTAACTGCAGGGGGCTCCCGGCGTTTTCCCTCACACTGCTCTGGAGGAATGGGCTGGCTCTGAACTCTTAAACCTTTAAACAGTAGTTGGCGTCCGCTGCTGCTTCGCCAATAGCCCACACTTCCATCTTTATTTCAGTAACCATGTGTGTGTGGATTCAAAGCCCAGGCACAGACAGCGGAGAAAGGGGAGGGGGTGAGGAGAGGGGAAGTGGTGATGGTCCGCTAAGTTAAGTTTCCACGGCTTACGCAATCGTCCACGTGAGAGCACAGCGTTCAGACACAAGTGCTTTTTCCACTCTAGGAGACATGTCAACTGTGCTATTTGAAAGGATTTGGATAATGTCACTGGGGGCTCTATCCAATGGAGAGAACATACTATTTAGGAGCTCCATGAAAGTCGTTATTGTTAATCTACAACAACAGGCTACCAATGCACACTTAAATTTGATGCATGACCATCAGAAATGGGATGTAGCTGGCACTGGTAACTGGAAGAAAAAGCAATCATAGTGTAAAGTGTTTGTAAATCTGCGCAATTCACTACCTGCTTGTCTCCATGGAGATGTTCCTTTTCTTGGAATGTTCCATGGGGTGACATTAAACATATCCATCTAGTATTTATTCATTAAGTGTGTTTCTATTGCTCAAAAATACAGTCATTCCTTCTGGTGAACAGGGGCGACTCCCCACAGATCTGAACTGTAATCTACTTTAGTGCTGCTTGTTTCCTTCATGACACATTGGTTTAATCTACACTGTGGCACATTCTAAACAAACAAATACAATTTCTATGGAGACAAGCAGGTAGCAGACCCTCCACCAGAAAAGTTGTGCAGTGCACCTTTAAGTGCATGTACACAAATCCTTTTTAAATGTTTTTGGCTGCCTAACCATGTCAGTTCAACAAATGTAGTTAGGCATGGGTTTTCTATCTAGATTCAGACTTTTTCCATTTCAATGCTGATGAAATAATATTTTTGTGTAATGACTGTAGCAGTGGTCCCTGATGGACTGTGGTGCTACTTATTACATATCTTGTTTCAATTTTTACAGAAATTGCTGATCTATTTTTTTTTTTTTTTTTATCATGATCATTTTGAATTTAACAACAATAAATAAAAAACATGTTGTATAGCATTTTACTCTTATACTGCCTTCAGAAAATGACCATTTAAAGCTTCATATACATTGCATATACGGTTTGCAGAATGAATCAATATTTGTTTCTATATATAACAAGATCCAGTATATTAAGCTCTATCATTTGAATTAATTTACATTTTTCAAGTCAAAGTTCAACAGGAAGAAAACTATTTGCTTCACCAGTACTCTCAAGGGGCATCCTCAAAGCAGCAGCTCATCTGTTACCAACAATAGAATGGCCCTAGCTCTCTTTATCACCATTTTACAAAACTCACTGATAAGCAACACCAATTTTGTTAATTGAAGTTACTGTATTAAATTTCTTTTCTCTTTTTGCATACTGCCATCTGTGTTACCCTTGGAGACCACCAAAAGAGGTCCAATGTGAATAGTGGAACAAAAAACGTATTAATTTTTGGCCAAAGCCTGGGGAGTTGACTAAACCTCCGTGACTTTTAATTAGCACTAATAGTTAATAAATGTAACCTTGCTAAGGCGCTTGTAGTCTGCCTTTCTTGCTATAATCACAATTCTAAGCGGGCAATATTTTCGGAATCTCTTCCAATGACATAATGAATAAACACATATCACAAAGTTGGAGACAAGAAATAAGAAATAACTGGAAAGGCAAATTTACTGACAGTACCATAGTCTAGTACAGTTTGTTTTTTGTTCAGTTTGATTATTATTATATGTTATGTAACAATAAAAAATAATCAATGCTTGCATTGTGTTACTTATTTATTTACTTAATTTCTCTCAGTTTGAGCATGTTTTTCTTTGAGTTGTAAATGTAATCCTTCCATTGTACTTGTCTTGGCCTGTTTTGCCATATGTATTTTTATTATCAGAGGTGTCCATGGCACAGGAAGTGTGGCAGTGGCCAAATTATACCTGGCGTGTGTCAGAGCAACAACTGCAGAGTAAAGACTGGAATTAGAGTCTGAAAGACTTTCATGTATGCTGATGACATGTTGTGGTGCTGACAGGTGGAGGGGGGCAAACACAGGAGGTTCCAAGGGTACCAGCGTCTGGCCCTCATCCTGGCCACGCTCTTCCTGGTGCTGGCCCTGTGTGTGATCAGCCTGCATTATCTGTGGAGCCCCACGCCAGGGAGGGTGAGTACACCACCGTCTACTTCAGTCTACTGTTAGTCACATCCCTTTATTCAGTATTATTATTTTTTTTTATCGTTACTATTTTCAGCATTTTCTGTACCCATGGAAGACATCAAATATATGATGTAAAATATATACAGTAAAATTATGTAGCAAAGGACCATTTTTAAATAAGTAATACATATATGTTTTATTTATATTAAAATCTTCATTGTTGCCACCCTTTCCTTTGCTAACAGCACTGCAAAGTGCAAACCCATGAGTTATTGAGTTTGTTTTGTTTAATACATTCCATATGTGTTCACTGATAGTTTTGATCTCTTCAGTGACAATCTACAATGCAAATAATCATGGAAATAAAGAAGAAAAATCGATGAAAAAGTATGTCCAAAGGGAGTGGTAGTGTACGTTGTGTAGAAATGTATAATTTGCAAGGTATCTTATATCATTGTGATTAAAATCAAATTCTTTATTCTTACCCATTCTGCAAATGTCATTGAAATTGAACTTGAATTGTCTTCTGCCATTAAGTTCTATCATAACTAACAAACTTGCAATTGAACGCTTTGTGCTTTGTTTATAGCACATGGTTCATTTTCCAGTTTTTACTGATATTGTATTATACAGACGCATGCCTAATACTACCACTCACTAGAGTAGGGCAAATGTGCTCTCATTGGTTGCAACTCATATTTAAGCCAATTTTTTTGAAACATTTTATTACTTGCCCATCTCCTTTTACTGCCACACAGTATGCCTTAGCTGAAAGACATATGAAAACAACATCACCACATGTGCAAATCACTCCAGATTCTGTGGAGAA